GAGACATTTGACGACGGAAACAGAACTCAGACCTACCTGCTTCCATAGTGGGCTCCTCCTCGACTTCATTAACAGAGTATTGAGCATTACTTGGAGAGTATCTCAGCTGCAAACCCTCCGGAGTGGGGATGCCCACTACTTCAGGAACACTGTCATCCGTAGACGATTGTTTCAGAAACTTACGAGACTTTTGACGAGGAGAACACAACTCAGACCTACCTGGTTCCTTAGCAGGCTCCTCAACTTTATTAACAGAGAAACGAGCATTATTTGGAGAATATATCTGCTGCAGACCCTCCCTTAGGGCAATCAGTATGGAGCTTTCATCAGAAAAGAACACTTTCCTTTTATCAGGAGTTACGTTGACATCGCAGGCTCTTGTTGGAACAGTAAAATTCATTATTGCAATGGGATGCTGCTGGGAGTTTGCTCCTCTATATAACTCATTCACAAGCTTGGTAACTTTAGGCATATCCACTGGTCTACCATTCACAAAAAAGAACTGTCTATCTCCCATATTTCGCCCACTACCCTGTCCAGACTTGGAAAGAAAACCATCTACCTTGCAACTTTCAGAAACAGATATACTCACAGGTTCTAAGCAATTGAACGTGCTCATACCGAAAAGTGTGACAATGTTATCCTTAAGGGAACCACTTCCTTGTGTTTTAAGTACCACAGACTTTGCATTTTTACCGGTGGCATTGGTGCAGACGATACGAACTCCTTTCGCAATAAGGGCATAGGCCTAAAATTCAAATATCACAAGAAATGATATAAGATTTGATAGACAAAAATTCAATATAACATAATAATAAAGAAAGGCCAATGTGTTCTGGTATAAGTAATAACTCACGCACATTCAGTAAGGAAACAAGCTTTCCGTACTCCTTCCGAATGTTGCGACCAAATTCCTTGCACCGCACTGGTAAATTCGAAAACAAGCTCTTCACAGTGACGGTAGTCCCGACTTGCCGGGCCGTCTTCTTTTCGGCGACCAATAAACCTGAATGGTCAAAAGTCAAGTGCGTGGCAACGGGCTCGTTCTTCGTCCTGGTTTCCACTGTCAAATTCCCCAACGCACACAGAGAACTCAAGGCCTCGCCTCGGAACCCGAACGTGGTCAGAGACTGGAGGTCAGGGAAACCGACCAGTTTGGAAGTGTGATGCCTGAGGGCAAGGACCTTGAAGTTGTTCGGTGAAATGCCACAGCCATTGTCGATGACTTGGAACCACTCTTTGCCGTAGTCTTTGAGCGCGATTTCGATGCTGGTGGCGCCAGCGTCGAGGCTGTTCTCGACCAATTCTTTCACGGCGGCCGAGAGGTCTAGAATCACTTGGCCGGCGCAGATTCTGTGCACCACGCCCTTGTTTATGGGTTTTATGGTTGGAGAATCGGATGGAGTTGTTGCTTCCATTGAAACCCTAATTCATAAACCTCAAACTTCAGCTCATGGATACGACACTGTTCTGGCTAGAAATTCACTGGAAAAATGCTTGTTCTTGATTCTGAGTGGGAAAAATTAAAACCCTAAGTGATGAAATCATGAAAGGGATTTATGAGTGTAAAATTGACCTATCGGATTTTGCCGCCAAAACTGAAGCGGAACCGTTGAAATGGTGACGGTATCGGTATTTATGCTGGCGAAGCTAACGTCTCAGTCTCGGCCTAGCTACTAGCTGGTTATTTTTTATTTTTTATTTTAAACTTTTCTCAACTTGTTGAAAAGCGATAAAAGGAATTTCGGTCACCTTTTTCTTTTTCTTTTTCTTTTTGACATTGTAGTAAGGGATCAAAATTAATTTTCCCAAAATCTTAATCTTAACTGATTTCCATAATCGTACAAAACTTGGCATAAAAAGATGCAGCACAATAATGCATGGTGATGGAGGCTGGGTTTCAATGATCATCCCTGTAATTAACAAAGGGCAATAGCCATATGTAACAGAACCATTTCCAACAGAACTTTTGCCTGTTCACTGTTCGGTGAAAAGAATATAATTCTCGTTTGTTTTCTAAACCGAAGAATGAAAAGGAAATATAAACAACTTGATTCTGAGAAATCCAGCATCTTTGACATAACAAAGATATCCTTTATTTGGAATAATTACAAAAATACAAACGTACACGTATAAAAGGAACGCTGGAAATGCACGAAAAGACTGCGTGATCTGTGTCTCTAGCTGCACTGCACTACTGCTTTTTAATGTTTATAGTCCAAAGAAGATCTGAATCAGATTGTACGGTGATTTTCTCTCCTTTGACAATATTTGAAGTACTGATTAAACCACCAAACTTCATCTCTGTTTCAGCTGGACAGGAAAAGCAAGATTGAGTTAGATTCCCGTAACAAATTGCATAGCTACGAACAACAGATATAGAAAATTTCACCATGCGGCATCCCTGTCATACCACACCCAAGAAGAAAGTCCTCAACCCAAGTCCCAATTGGGATACAAACTGTAAGTGCAGTAGAGAACAGATAGTTTTAGTGAGTTACACATATGGCTCCCACTCAAAATACTTAGGTAGTCTGGCCACACTTGCACCTTACAGGGGGCTATTAGATCACCCAGCACATGAACAATGAAATCAATACTCAGGTAGTCTTACCCTTTTTGGTCATGTTTAAGAAGGGAAGAACAGGATTAGGTGACATGCAACAGTGGTGAGCAGACAAGTATTTTCTAAGCAAGTTCTCTTAGGTCTTCCCAATAAAGGCAAGCATTTACTAGCCTTATGACTTAAGAAATACTCACCAAGATCCCATTGAAGCCCAGTGGTTGTAGTACTTCCAGACGGCATTCCAATGGGTATAAGTCCACAGTGAGGGCCTTCAATGGTTGGTTGAATATGGATCTCATGGCAGTGTGTCCTTGGAAGAAGATGGATGAGGCAATCATCAGATATAAGAATTATTCTAACGGTTGAGAATCGACATAACACATTGATGTTTCCAATCTCATGGTCAAACCGTCCACCAAGTGCCCCAGCAACCAGAATGCATAGCTGGAAATACATCGAGAAGAAACACAGTTACTATACAAATATGAGAGACATACTATACTAGCAATCAATTTAGCAGAATGTCAAAATCTGGAAACAATAAATTTGACCACTCAATTCCAAACAATAAATTGTAACATGCAACTTACATTGGATTTATCTAGGTCTGGTGCCCAGTCACATATATATGCTACACACTTATGTAGATCGGTGGTATCCTGATCATCAGATTCATCAATTATCTTGGTTCCCTGCATTCAAATAGCAAACACAGACAACCTGAGAAAACACCAGAGCACCACATGTATGCAAATCGAGGAGCAATAGTACCGCAACAACATAATAAAATGCATCGAAAAAATCAGTCCCAATGACGTTATTCATATATAGGGTGGTGAATCATCTTCCAAATAACTCTAAAGGACAACATCATCAATCACTTCCTCAAGTTTTCCAGATATGAAAACAGGAATGATAGCTAAAGATATCGAGAATTACGCAGAAGATCAAGCTCACTTACCATATTAGCATAAAATTCCAAGACTTCCTTTCGGATTGAGTCCATGTCACCTTTAATAACGTCAGGCTTGTACCTGGAACAAATATCAGCACTTAGTATCAAAAGTAGATGCAAAGGTCATCTAATCACTTTTCAGGAAGAGATTTATACTATTTATAGTGCAAAGTACAGGGGCAATTGTCAATCCAACTCCATTATATGTCTTCCAGTCAATACCCCACCAATTTTTCGATAAGTAAACCAAAAACACTAGAAATTATAAAATAAGATGCGCCAAGGCTTAAATTTAAAGGGGAATAATTAAGTAAATAAGCAAAAATTGCCTCAAACAACAAAAAGCGGCTGGAAAAGGAACAACTTCCTTAAAGAATCAACTTTAACAACTAAACTGACAGCGGAAGGATCGAACCAATAAAAGACCATACTTTACAGCAAAAAACAAAAAAATAAAAACCTTTTCCGAACATCGAAAGCGTTTTCATGAG